GCTAGAGCCACATCTTACTGGGGAGTGCCTGTGGTGGTAGCATGGGGTTCTTTCTGCAAGTGAGCCTTTCTGCCTGTCTCAGAGACACCTGTGAGATCTGTTACACACACACACACACACACACACACACACACACACACTCACACACACAGGTCCAAACCTTTCCCTCTCCTCTTACTTATTTATATTCTCTCCCTTACTCCAAAGTCAAGCCAGCCACCATGCCGAATCTCCACATTGTCTCAACAAAAAAAGAAAAAAACAAATAAGAATAATAAGAATGGCCTGTCTTCTCATTATTTTTTGTGAGATTTAAAATAATGTAAAATAAATGCTTGAAAACTCAAAGAATGAGGTGTAGTAAGTTGAGCTGAAGTATTCTAAGGTTAGTAAGAATTGTGTACAAAATGGTGAAAGTAGTAATTTATATTAGACTCTAATATTAGAATCAAGAATCCATTTCATGATCTTTAGGATAACTTCTCAAGAAACAATTAAAGATGTATAATTAACAAGGTAATGGGGAAAAGATAAAAAAAAATCCATATAATTCTAAAATAGAGACAAACACACATAGGGAGAAAGGGCCATAAAATAGATGGGACAAATAGAAAACAAAGAGTAAGACTGTAGTTATAAACTTACATATATCAGTAAGATTATGTAAAACATAAATAATCTAAATTCCCTAACTATTAATTACTTTCAAATTGAATTAAAAATACCCAGGAGGTGTAATTCAGTATTTGAGCATTGACTCGAGAACCCACAAGTCATGAACCTAATGTGTCCAGGTGCCAGGACAGATATAACAAACTCCTTCATTTTTAACATATTAACTGTTCCTGTACCCACCTAAGTATGTGTCTATCATTTTATTTTTTATCCAATCCCAGGGGTTTTCCTGCTTTGCTTTCTCCTGCCTCTCTTATCTATCACCAATAGATTTCATGTAACCTACCTATGTCCCTTCCTTTGCAATCTATAAATATAGATGAGAGGACACCATTCTATGGAGCATTATCCCAATCCATTGAGATATTGCTTCCTGGCAATTGTCGCCCATTTGGCTCAAACTCACAAAAATTCTTTTTTTTTTTTAATATATTTTATTGATTTCCACAGAGAGGAAGGAAGAGGGATAGAGAGTTAGAAACATCGATGAGAGAGAAACATCGATCAGCTGCCTCCTGCACACTCCCCACTGGGGATGTGCCCGCAACCCAGGTACATGCCCTTGACCAGAATCGAACCTGGGACCTTTCAGTCCGCAGGCCGACGCTCTATCCACTGAGCCAAACTGGTTTCGGCCAAAAATTCTTAAATAAAAAAAAGAAGGTCACTTGATTGATTCCTGGTCAGGGCACATGCCTGAGTAGCAGGCTAGATTCCTAATAGGGAGTCTATGCAGGGGACAGCCAATCGATGTTTCTCTCTCATCAATGTTTCTATCAATCCCTCTCCCTTCTTCTCTAATATCAATAAAAACGTGTTTTTTTTTAAAGAACATGTTCAGTTTAATAAATAAAACTAGCACCCACATAGCCACCACTCAGGTAAATACATTTGAAATTATCAGCACTTCAGAAATTTGTATGCTTGTATCAAAATCTCCTCCAAAAATAGCATTTCTGATATTTTCTTGTTTTATTCTCTGGATCCCTAAGTGATATGTGTATTTCCCTGGCTATTTTTGAATTTCATTTGAATGAAATCATATTATTCTTTCATGTCTGCTTTTCAATAATGTTTTGTGGGAGAAACTTATACTGTTGCATGTGACTGCAGTTCTTTCATTTTTATAATATACAGAATCCCACTATATAACTTACTGCAATTTATTTTTCTTTTATTTTTTCCCTTCCAGCTTTTAACTATTATTGAAAATGCTGCTAATAAACATTAGTGTGTGTGTGTGTGTGTGTGTGTGTGTGTGTGTGTGTGTGTATCCTATTGCATATGTGTACATGTCCCTAACTAAGTTACATATCAAGTGATGGAACTGCTAGAATCCTATATAATAAAAGCCTAATATGCTAAGTATCCAGTCATCCGATCAAAGCGTAACATGCTAATGATATGCTAAGGCTGCTCAACAGCTCACTATGACGTGCACTGATCACCAGGGGACAGTCGACCAATCTCTATGACATATACTGACCACCAGAGGGTAGACACTCTGACTGGTAGGTTAGCTTGCTGCTGGAGTCTGGCCAATCAGGACTCAGTGAGACACACCTGAAACCCTCCCATGGTCCCTCCCCGGCTGGCTAATTTCCCACATCCCTCCCCAGCCCCGTTTGTGCACCAGTGGGATCCCTCGGCCTGGTCTGTGCCTTCTCACAATCTGGGATCCCTCGGAGGATGTCGGAGATCCGGTTTTGGTCCGATCCCATAGGCCAGGCCGAGGGACCCCACAGGTGCACGAATTTGTGCACCGGGCCTCTAGTTTTCAGTATTTCTAGATAATGCTCCCCCCTTTAAAAATACTATACCAATTTACTCACCCAACAACAAAATCCTACATAATAAAAGCCTAATATACTAAGTGTCTGGTTGTCCATTCAACCAATCAAAGCATAATATGCTAATAGTATGCTAAGGCTGCTCAACCACTCGCTATGACGTGCACTGACCAACATGGGGGAGTCGCTCCAACCAGTAGGTTAGCTTGCTGCTGGGGTATACCTGATTGGGACTGAGTGAGACAGATGGGTTGGACACACACTGCAGCCCTCCCGAGGTCCCTCCTCAGCTGGCCAAACTCCTGCGTCCCTCCCTGGCCCCAATTGTGCACTGGTGGGTCCCTTGGCCTGGCCTGCACCCTCTCACAATCTGGGAACCCTCAGGGAATGTCAAGAGAGCTGGTTTCGGCCCGATCCCGCAGGCCAGGATGAGGGACTCCACTGGTGCATGAATTCGTATACCGGGCCTCTAGTATTAAATAAAACCAATTCCTTTTATTTCAAAATCTCACCTATATCTGGTATTGTTAGATTTTAAAGTGTTTTACCTTTCCTCACCTGAAAGGAAATGGTATCAAAATATGTTTTCAATTTCTATTTCCCCCAATTACCAATGAAGAGAGCATCTTTCATATGTTTACTGTCCATCTGGAATTCCTCTTTGTGAAGTAGATGTATAAGACTTTTGTCCATTTTTCCTTGTGTATTATCTGGTTTTACTCATTGATATGTTGAAGTTATATATATATATATATCCTGAGTACTAATCCTATACAGGTTATATGTGCTATGAGTAGCATCTTTTACTTGATGGCTTGTCTTCTCATTATCTTTATCATGCCTTTTGAATAAAAGAAGTTTCTAATTTTAAAATGGTAAAATTGATCATTTACTTTTACGCACCAAGGGTACTTGTGTCTTAAGAAATCTTATTTGAAGTTCGTGAAGACATTCCTTTATATTTCACCCAACATGAATAGCAAATTAACAACACCATTTACTGAAAGACAATCATTTCCCAAATGATCTGCCAAATAATCGCCATCACATACATACATGTATATGATAGGTTTCTAGACTCTGCTGCACTACTCTACTTGGCAATATCACATTATCCTATACTTACCAATATAACAATATCCTAATTACAGCAGTTTTGTAATGTTCTGACATCTGATGGCAATTCCTTCCATTTTGTTCTCTACTTAAAGGATATCTTGGCCTCTTAACCTATTGCATTTACATATACATTTTAGAATCAAATCAGCTTGTCAAGTTCCACAAAATTACACACTGAAAAACTGATCGAAATGGTACTCTATAAATTAAACAGAAGTAAAAACATTTTATAATACTACTTTGTCCAAACCATAAACACACTTTCTCCATTTTTTTCTTTAATATCTAAGTTCTGTCAATTTCTTCAGTCACTACATGTCTTATTAAATGTATTTCTAGGTACCTTATTTAGTTGGTGCTATTGGAATTCTTAAAAATTTCATTTACTAATTGTTTATATCTGATATATAGTAACACAAATGATTACTTATACATTTGAGTATGGCAATCTTGCTAAAATCTTATTAATCCTAATAATTTAACTGTAAATGCCTTTGGATTTCCTACATACATACACTGAATCATCCCAAAATAGTAATATGTATTGTTCCTTCTTTTTGAATCCTTTTTAATTTAAAATTTTTTTTGCATTGTTGCATGAGGCAAGATATCTGGTATAATGTTAGAAGTGGTGACAGCAAACATTGCTTTATTTTGTATCCCAATGAAATATTCCCAATATTTCACCATCAGATTTGTTTTAGGGTTTTTGTAGACGCTCTTTTTCCTATATTTATTGTAAACTGATTATTCTTCTCTTGGCAAATTACATTAATTTTTTGTTTTTGAACCAGTATTCCTGGGACAAACTCAACTTCTATGGATTGCTGATCTTGGTTTACTAGTCTCTTGTTTAGAATATCTGCATTTATTTCATGGGTAAAAGTGGACTATAATTTTCCATTTCTGTAAAATTATCACAGTAATACTAGATTTTAGTATCTAGTCTCATAAAATGAACTGAAGAATATTCCCTCTTTTTTATTCTTTGGAATACAGTAAGTCCTCTTAAAATCATCAATAGGTTTTGTGACTAAGCAAAAAAACTATAACAAAACCAATTTTACAATAGGCTAACTGATATAAACAAAATTAAATTTTTTACAGCATCTTGTTAACACGATAAGGAAATGGTTAAATGAAATGCTGTTATTTAAGGATATGCTGTAGTTTAAAATTGATGGTGTTTCTTCCTTAAATCCTATATAATGAAGAGGTAATATACAAATTAACCCTCACACCCTCACAAGATGGCTGCCTATGACCAGGCTGGCAGGGGGGTTAGTGAGGGACCACCAAACAACTGAATAAGCAGGCTGTGTGGGGCGACCAGGCTGGCGGGTTAGTGAGGGAAAATGAAACAACTGAACAGCAGGCTGCGTGGGG